GCGTCCCCCGAGGCGGCGGCCGCGGCGGAGGCGCGGTCGGGGGGGAGGGCGCAGCGCCTCGGGCCACGAGTTCGGCCGCGGGCGGGGCTGCAATGAGGTCGGGCCTGTGCCCCTACAGGAGGAGTACCCATCGGTCATTGAAAGCATGTATTTTTTGGAGCCCCAGATTCCAATCTGCTTTAAGCGCCTTCCTACTTCAACGATCGAGTGGCTTTCCCTCTTCCCTCCTCTTCAGGGGGCGGGCGGAGGCCCACTCCACTTCCAACGCCATCCTACTTCATGTTTCTACCTTCTTCCGACCGACGGGTATTCAAAGATCGTTGAGGCTGAAGGAGAGGAGCCGCCAGAATCAGAGTGAGTTGGGGGCCGAGCGGTCGTTCATCGTCCCTGGGTGCGTGGTCGAACGGGGAGTTCGTGGTGAGGAATATGCTTGATAAGTATGTTGTTGTTATTGTGGTTGTTGTTGTTGCTGTTGGTGATGTTGTAATTATTGTCGCTGTTGTTGCTGATGCGGTTGTTGTTGATGTTGTTGATGTTGTTGTTGTTGCTGTTGTTGTTGTTGATGCTGTTGTTGTTGTTGTTGTTGTTGCTGTTGTTGTTGTTGTTAGTGTTGGTGTGTTATTAGTCGTGTTGTTGTTGTTGTTGTCATTATTGTTATTGTTTGTGTTATTGTTTTTGTTGTTGTTATTGTTATTGTTATTGTTCTTCTTGTTATTGTTATTGTTATTGCTATTGTTATTGTTGTTATTATTGTTGTTTGTCGTCGTCCCACCTGCGACCCACCCGAGACCCCCCGCGACCCACCCCGCGACCCACCCTCCGACCCACCCGCGACCCAACCCGCGACCCAACCCTCGACCCACCCGCGACCCACCCGTGACTTACCCACATTGGTTTGGCGAAAAAATCGGCGCCTGCGGCGGGCTCGCTGTATAATTTGAAACTTTGGCGCCTGCGGCGGACTTCTCCCGAGTCTCGCAAACTGCCGACGTCCCCACCGCCCCCTCACTCTTATTCGCATCTGCGGGGTGCTACGTCATGCGCGCCAGGGAGGGGGGTCCCAGCGCGGATCCAAGAAATCCGCGCGGAGCGCCAAAAGTTTATGTTTATGTTTTTTCTTTGTACGGAAATAATACGGAGACGATTATTTGACCTTTTAATGTTTGAATAAAAAAACTACTTTTGATCTTTCGCCCAAAATCTCTTGTAGGAGGACATGCCCGACCCAAGGCTACAAGTCAGTGGAGCGAGTCTTTTCGGAAGCTCACTTTCATCAGGCGGTCGCAAGCATGGATCAAGTGGATGCGGATTGGCGTCGGGGCTCAAGAGACGGGGGTCAACGCAAACGGGGGTCAGCCAGAGTGCCGGATCTTGCAGGATCCTGCAGGGCCATGGTCGCATTGATCCGGGTTTCGGTGCAGGATCTTGCAGGGTCCTACGTATTGACCCGGGCTTGGGTGCAGGATCTTGCAGTGCAGGATTCTGCAAGGCCTACGCAGGCCTGGATGACCCGGGTCAGAAGATCCCTGATGGCGGTCTTGTTTCCATGGGAAATTACAGATTTCCGCCTCCGAACGAGGCGGCACCAGCCGCATTTTGGGGAGGGCACCTCCCCGATCCATGGATTCGGCGACCGCGCGCCAAATCCATGCATCGCTAATCCATGTTTGCGCGCCCCCGATAGAAGTCAATTGAGTGGGTCTTTGCGGAAGCTCAAGCTAACATACGGAATACGTTTCTCTGCATTGTCGTAGGGGTCATTGGAGGCTGCTAAAGGTCGCTAGAGGCCACCAGAGGCTGCTCAAAGGGGACTAAAGGCCACTACAGGCCGCTGATGATAACCTAGAGGCCGCTGAAGGCCCCCGAAGGCTACTAAACCGAGGCGGTATTGGATGAGGCACCAAAAAGACTCACCCAAAGCACGTATCCATTCTGGCTCAAGGTGTTTACCAGCCAATCCATTCCGCTGCTACATTAACGACCCCATTTGCCGCACACTGAGCCGAGCGATGGCCCGCATGCTGGCGGTGATGCTGATGGCGCTCGCCTTCGTGCAGGCCAGCGCCCTGGATTCGGAGGAGCATCGCCCCAAGGGCGCCCGCAGGCGGCAGATGGAGCGCACGCGCGCGGCGGAGCTCGAAGCCGCGATCGCCAAGGCCGGCTGCGCCGACCTCGGCGGCGAGAAGTGGTTCTCGGACGCGCACGGCGAGCTGTTCCAGGTGAAGCAGGACAAGTGCTCGATCTCCTTCCAGCTGAAGAAGAAGAGCGGCGAGATGTACGAGAAGAAGGGTGTTGTGCGCGGCACCAGGGTGCTGGTGGAGCCGCCGTTCCCGGAGGGCCAGATGCTGCCGAACCAGACCGTGATGTGGGAGAGCGGCGCCCGCTGGGAGCGCAAGTGGTGAGCGCCTGGCTTGCCAGGACGCCGCGTCTCCGGGGGAGCGCCTGGCCGGGTCGGAGGGCTCCGATGCTCTCAGTTTGCGATTCGGCAGGGGGGACAAAAACGACTGAGGCCCAAAGTCAACCGAGGAATATCCGCCCCGATTCCCGAGAAGTGGCGCTTGTCGAACGGCCCTGGGCGTTCTTGGCATTGCCATGCCCTGTTCGATTGTGAAGGCCTCACGGCCGGTGCCGCCGACCCTGAAGTGGGCGAAGATGAAAACGAGGGTGCGGAGGAGCATTAGGAGGAGGAGGAGGAGAAGGTAGAGGAGGTGCAAGAGGTGGGGAGCAAGGGGGAGGAAGGAGGAGGAGGAGGAGGAGGAGGAGGAGGAGGGAGGAGAGGAGGAGGAGGAGGGAGGGGAGGAGGACGAGGGGAGGGGGAGGAGGAGGAGGACGAGGAGGAGGAGGAGGAGGAGGAGGAGGAGAGGAGGAGGAGGAGGAGGAGGAGAGGGAGGGAGGAGGAGGATTCCCTCCTGCGTTCGCGAAACGGTCTCGCCCGTCGGGGTCTGCTTCCTGTGGGGGCGGAGGGCTCCGCGCTCCGACGGGCGCCCGCCGCCCGCGCCTCTCTGGGCGGGAGGAGCCGCCTGCGGAAACGGGGGTAGCGCTATGATGCTCCCCTCCTCCTCCTCCTCCTCCTCCTCCTCCTCCTCCTCCTCCTCCTCCTCCTCCTCCTCCTCCTCCTCCTTCTCCTATGAAGGAGGGGTAGCCTTGACCACCAGGAAGAATTTCGAGCGCCCCCAAAAGTGCCGAACCTCCAGGGGTTTTCACGTGCCGGGCCCCGGGAGACGCTCGCCCGGCACTGCTTCGACTTTCTTTTGACACTTTTCTGGGTGCTCGAACTGATTTCTAGGATGCGGTCCTTAGGTAGGACGGGAACAAGATAAGGGGATAAGGGTAGCGCAAAGTTTCTCCCAGGAGCCGTCGGGAGCACTACTCCTCGGGGCTCAAGAGACGGGGGTCAGTGCAAGCGAGGGTCCGCGAGAACGCCAAGCCTTGCAGGATCGTTCAGGGCCAGGGGTGCACTGACCTGCAGGGTCCTGCAGGTCCCACGGCTTGGGCGCAGGATCCTGCAGGATCTTGCAGAGCCTGACTGACCCGGGTTTGGATCGACGCGGGTCAGTTCGAAGAAGAGCCAACGCCAAAAACATACACTGCGGCGCTCCGCGCTGGGCCTCGCCGTCGGCGCCTCTGGCGCCGCCCCTGGCGCGCCCCGCGGGCCAGGGAGGGTGCTCCAGCGCAGAGCCCAGAAATCCCCGCGGACCGTCGACAGCTCACGTGTACAGTCAAGGGCTCCCCCGAGGGCGCGAAGTTATTCGCGCTTCGCGGTCCTCGTTCCTTCTCCCCCTCCTCCTCGTCCTCCTTTTCTCCCTTTGGGGGGGCGGCGCGAGAGCGCGAAGTTATTCGCGCTTCGCGGAGCGCGAAGCGCGAAGTTGGGAGCCCTAGACAGTCGGCCCGGATTAGTAGGTCGACCCTGCCACATCAATGGTGCCTTGGTGTCCTGTGCCTCGCGACCCGTGCCTCCTGCACTTCTGTGGCAGTGTGGCCCTCGGAAGGGTCTTCTGTCCCCTCGCGTGTCCTGTCCACTCGAGTCCGACGGTATGCCGTTGTGTTTCCTTCCTTTCTTGTGTCAACAGACTCGGGGGCCACATGCGAACCCTACCCCTACCCCCCACGATTTCTGAGGGGGAGGGTGGGGTTCACTTTGTTCGGGAGCTCCCGAGCGAAGCGAAACCCACCCTCCCCCTCAGAGATCGTGGGGGGTAGGTGGATGGGTTCGCATGAGGGTCCCTACAGATCCCCGAACGCTGGGAAGAAAGCAGAGCGGGGCGCAGCGACCCGGGGGCGAGGCGGCGCAGGGCCCCTCGGGGGAGAGGCGCCCGGGCCGTCGCGCCTCCCTTTCGGGGGCGCCGGGGAGTCGAGCGGGGCATCGGCTGCAGCATCGAGTTTCTCGTCGGGCGCTGCGCAGACTGCTCGCGCAGACATGCTCGCGTCGTGAGAAAATCAGGACGGGTGGTTTTTGGCTTGTTTCGGCCCCGGGGGGCCCTCGCCGGGCCTCGGGGCCGTCAAAAAACGACTCGGAACAAAGAACCGGTCCCAGGGAAAGGGTCGGGACTTCCAGGGACGCCGTCCTGAAAAAATCAGAACGTCGCATGTCTGGGCGTGGGTCTACGAAGATTCGACGCATGTTTTTCTCACGGCATCGGCGGACAGATCAAGCTTGGGGCAGACCAAGTCTGCAGTCGCCGCTGCCCTTCTCGAAGGAGAGGGGGGCATGAGGACTGTGGGGTGGGGGTGGGGAGGGGAGGGGAGGGTGGGGAGGGGGGGCGTGGGAGGGGAGGGAGGGTGGGGAAGGGAGGGAGGGTGGGGAGGGTGAGGAGGACTGGGGGGTGGGGGGTGGGGAGGGGCGGCGTTTTCGTCGGCGGCTCCGCGGAGGTCTGCGGGGCGCCCGAGGTTCGAGATCCGAGGTCTTCGGGCGGTCCCGCAGGGCCCCGGCGGTCTTTTTGTTGGCCTCGGGGCGTCCCATTCGTCCTCCTCCTCCTCCTCTCCTCCTCCTCCTCCTCCTCCTCCTCCTCCTCGTAACTGCACTGCACTGTGTAACCCCCCTATCCACTTAGAACCCCCTACGGTCATCCCAGCAGGCAGTCAACGGGAGAGCTGTGCCTCATCGATGGCTTCCCGAGGGTGGTGCCCTGCACGCCCCGAGCGGCCGCCAGAGGCCAGAGTGCTGACCCTGCACGCTCGAAGTGGGTATGGAAAGAATGGGTACGGGTTCATTTCGAGCAGGGTTCGCTGTCCACGCCGCCGCCCGCGGCCTGTGTCCATTCGAGGCAGAAGGCCGCCTGCCCAACAGCGGCCGCTGTCGGTTTGGGACAACATTTGCTGTTGGGCATTGTGCCCATTTTTTCCGTACCCATTTCGGGCGTCCAAAGATGACGCGTGAGCCACCGGGCGTCGAGGTCGAAGGGGACAAAACCACACAAGCATAAACGTTTGGCGCTCCGCGCGGATTGCGTGGATCCGCGCCTGGGCCCCAAGGCGGCGAGGGAGGCGGCGCGCTCCGCGCGCCAGGAAGGGGCGTGTCCAGCGCGAGTCCAGGAGATCCGCGCGGAGCGCCAAAAAGTTCATGTTTGTGTGTGGTGTTTCTTTTCCTAGAGGAGGGGGTTGAGGACTTGTGGATTGTGGATGTCGAGGCCGCGGAGGTCCAGCGAGAATCTGAGAAGTCCGCGCGGAGCGCCAAAAGTGTACGTTTATGTGGTCTTCTCTTCTTCTGGAAGAGGGGGGTGAGGACTTGTGGGTTGTGGTTTTCTCTTCTTCGGGAAGAGGGGGCGGGGGTGAATTGTGGGTTGTGGATGCCGAGGCCCCGGCCATCCCATTTCTCAGACCTCGAATGCCAGCACCCCCCTCCCCGGAGCACGCCCCCTCGGCCCCCCCCACGCGCCACGCGTCCGCCCGCATGCCCTCGGGCCTCGCTGCGCCTCCTCCCCGGCAGCCCCCCCCCCCGCCCCCTTCAGGTCCGAGCGCCGCCGGGGCAGGCGGGAATTTCTACATGGCCACCGCCTGGAGTGTCAGTGTTCGGGGGCCTCGCAGGCGGTGGATATGGATACATTCGGGCCCCCGGGGGCCAAACGACTATATCCCTGTCCACCGCCCGCAGGGGCACCAGGACGTCGTTTCCCAGGCGGTGGATATGGATAAATCCCCGCCTCGCATGGAGCGCACCGGCTAGAGTTCAGTGGGGCGTGTCCCTCTACAGGAGGAATATTCAAGAACAGTCAAAAAAGTAGTCTGAGGACGATGTCTGGATTATTTGGGAGCCTTTGTTGGGTATGTTTCTGGCTATTCTTCATTTTTCGTCCAAGATCCGCCTGTAGGGGGACATGCCCGAGCTAAGGCCAGAGTTCACCTGACTGCAGACGTCCGCCTCGTATTCTGAGCTCCGACCGGTTCGGGCCGGGCGAAAGGGGGGGACTGGGAAAGGGGGGGTTACGAAATTTGCCGCATGCAGCTGGTTTCGGCCTCACCGAGGGGCCCAGTCCTCGATACATAGCCGCCTCCGGCGCCGGGGGGCGCCGGGAAAATCAGCTACGTGAGCTGATTTTCACCCCCCCCCCTTTGCTATCACCCCCTTTCGCCCGACCCCTCTCGGGCCAGGTCCGAGGCCCGGACCCCCCAGCGCGTCGCGAGCAGCGACGCGGCAGGCGGGCACTGTTCTCTCGCCCATGCTCGGGGGCCTCTGGGGCGGCTCGCCCGGCCCGGGGGCCGTCCAGAGCGGCCGGGGGGGTACACAGCCAGCTCTCGACGAGCGCGCTCCACTGCTCGCAGAGGAACTGCTCGCAAATGGCCTGGATCCCCCGCCAGGGATCTGGGGCAAATTACGCCAAAGCAGAGAGGTGTTTCTTTCGGACGCTTGCGAGCAGGCACTTTGCGAGCAGTGGAAGGCGCTCGGTGAAGCTCTGGGGAGAGGGTCGGGGCTTGCGGAGATCCCGCTTCGATGAGAGGTCGAGACGTCTGCTGCCGAGGTGGGCATGTGGGCCCTGCACCTGCAGGGTCAGGTCTCCTACGGGCGAGCCCCCGGAGGCTCCAGAACCGCAGGGACAAGACGCGGCCGCCGTGCTTCCGTCCGCGACGCGAGGGCCGTCGCTTTTTGGACGGCCCCCAGGGCCCGATAAACGGGCTCCCGGAGGGCCGCCATCGCGTGGACAGGCCCGGGCCGACTGCACCGTGTGGTCCGAGAAGTCTGGATCGCCTTCGGATGTTTCCCGGGCGGGGCTCGCCCCCCTTCCGAGGTGGGTGGCCGTCCCTGAGAGCCTTCGCGTTACGTTTCAGTCGGGCCTTCCTGTTACCCCTCTACAGGAGGGATTTGGAAGAATAGCAGAAACATCGTCTAACACATTTGAGTTATTTTGGGCATGTTTTGTTTGTTTTCGTTCACGATCCGCCTGTGGGGGTCATGACCCCCCAGGGCCCGATCACGGGCTCCCAAAGGGCCGCCATCGCGGAACGGTGCCCAGGCTGAAGGCATCGTGTGGTCCGAGAAGTTTGGATCGCCTTCGCGGTTTCCTGGGCGGGGCTCGCCCCCACGCGTAGCCTTTCACGGGAGCCTTCGCGTCACGTTTAGGTCGGGCGTGTCCCTCTACAGGAGGGGTAATATTCAAAAATAGCAAAACAAATAGTCTGGGAACGATTTATATATACATTATACATATATGTATTTTTGGAGCATATGTGTCCCCAATCAGTGCTTGCACTGAAGGGGTCCTACCGGAAGTTGAAAAGGATTTGGCGAACATTTCCCGCCGATTTTGGTAGCAGGCTGGGTTCCCGGGTCCGTGTTCCGGGTTCCCGGGTTCCGGTTCCCGGGCCGACTTCGGTGGGCGGCGAGGTTCCCAGGTTCTTGGGTTTTTGGTCGATCTTCTTGTCGATCGGTCTCAGCATCGATCTCATGTTCCACCTCTCTATCGTTCTCACCGTCGATCTCACAATCGATCTCACAATCGATCTCGCAAGCGATCTCACTAGAGATCGCACGAGCGATCTCGCGATCGATCTCCTTATCTCCGACGCGTAGCCGTTCACGAGAGCCTTCGTGTTACGTTTAGGTCGGGCATGTCCCTCTACAGGGGGATCTTGGACGAAAAGTAATACATAGTCAGACAGATTCAAAAAATGGTCAAAGAATACGGAAACATCATCCCCTGATCATTTTTCCCCAATCAGTGCTTGTACTGAAGGGGTCCTACTGGAAGTTGAAAATTTGGCGAAAGTTTCCCGCCGGTTTTGGTAGCAGGCTAGGTTCCCGGGTTCCCGGGTTCCCAATTCCCGGGTTCTGAGTTATTGGTTCCGGGCCGATTTCGCTGGGATCTGGGTTCCCAGGCTCCCGGGTTCCCGGTCGATCTCCTCAGCGAAAACCATCCATTGATTGGGTTTTTTGTTCCAAGTGTAAATTGATTGTTTTGGACTATTCCCCCCTGTAGATGGACAGGCCCGATTCGTGTTAAGTTCTACCTTTCATTTGAGGGAGTCCGTGCCCGTTCCGCGCATGTTTCGTGCCCCCGGCCGTTGTGTTCTGATGGCGCTGGGCCCATGGATGGCGTTGAGCGTATTCGAACGGAGGCGGTACCGAGGAGGAACGTGAGCGGAACGGCAGCGGATCGAAAGCAAACGCCTAATCGTGACGCGCAAAGGTTTCCCATGAACGGCTACGGGAGGCCCGCGTCGTGCCGATTGGCGGCGACCCCTCCGCCAGCGTTCAACGCTGAACGCCGCCAGCGACCCTGAACCTGTCGACGTTGAACGAGCTTACGTTTCGGAGTCGGCCGATCGTTCACGCGGTGTCAGGACTCAAAGCCGGCGTCGGCACGGCACGAGCCCGTCGTGCATGGGAGAGCGAACAGTGACACAAACAGAAAAGCTCGGGGTCCGCGCAGATTAACCTTGCATCGGCCCTGGGGTCCCTGGCGACGCCCCCGGCGCCGCCCCTGGCGAGCTCCGCGCACCGGGGCGGGGGGTCCAGCGCCGATGCAAGAAACCCGCGCGGACCTCAGAATTTTATGCTGATGTAATTGAGTGCTCCCTCTATAGTATCAAGTCGGGCATCTCCCTCGTACCTCTACAGGAGAAATATTCAAGAATAGTTCAAATGTGGTCTGGTGACGATTTCTCTTGCTCCTTTGACTCTCTTTTCGAGTTCTTTGTCCACGCTTCAGTCTCTTCCAGAATCCGCCTGCAGGAGGACGTGCCCCCGACCCAACCCTGGTACAAATCTTCTTTCGGATTCAACTCCTGGGAGGTCAAATTCTGATTTTGCCCTGGTCCGAAATCCAGCTTAATCCCGCTTAATCTGGCTTGATCCGAGGCCCACTCCGGCGTAACAGCCCCCCAATGGGGCTTAATCCTCTTTAATCCTTCTCACGAGAACCTCCCAGTAGTTGCCTCCTGGCCTTCTGGCGAGGCCCAGCAGACGCTGCGCGAGCTCACGGAGGTGGTGGCCGAGCTCGGGGGCCTCGCGCACCGCGGCGCGCGGCTGCTGCGGCGGGCCGAGGCCGCCCGCACGCGCGCGGGGGCCGACCTGGACTCGCTCTGCGCGCACGCGGCCCGCCTGCGCACGGGGCCCCCCGCTGGGGCGCGCACGTCGGCGTCGGGCGCTCCCATTCGAGGCCTCCTGGGTGGGGTCGGAGTAGACTCACGGGCCTGTTTTCCACCACCACCATGAGTTGGAGGGGGACAGGGTCCTCCTCCTCCTCCTCCTCCTGCACCTCCTCCTGCTCCTCCTGCTCCTCCTCCTCGTCCTCCTCCTCCCCATCCAACTCATGGTGGTGGTGGTGGAAAACACGCCCATCATAGACGGGGACGGGGGATCGCGCCGCATCGCCGATGCATCGCCGAGGCGGCTCGATGTGCAGCCCGATGTGTTTCACGTCGACGTCGCCGATGCATCGCCGTCGTCGCCAGTGCATCGCCGATGCATCGCCGATGTGTCGGCGATTCTGCGCGTTCCTCCGACCCCATCTGTTCCGACCCCAGCCAGGAGGCCTCTACTCATTAGTTCGGTAGCAAATCATGAGAGCCTGGTATACCCTCGCAACTCCGTCTCTGGAGTGCATGAGCGCCGATTGGCGTCTGGTGATCGAGGAGATGGCGATGATGCATTGCCGGCTAGTGTCGACTGGCGTCGATTTAGTGTCGACTGGTCTCGATGAGTGTCGATCTGTAAGAGCCAGCGCGATGACATGGGAGGCTCCCATGAGTTGCAGCAGAACGTTCGATGATCCTCAGGACGCGTGGTCACCCAATGTGTGTTTCCCCGTTCTGGCACGTGGTGATCATCGTTGCATCATCCACTTCGGATGGAAGGGTTTCGTTGGACCAGCACGCGTTTGGATCAACACGTTCTGAGGATCATCGAGCCATGTCGGGGGCGTCCAAGGGGGGGGGGGACTAGAAGGGTGAGGAAGTTTTCGTCGTCGAAGGGGAGGCGGAGAGGCAGTCTCCGTTGGTTCTCAGAGGTTCTCTCGCCTCGGGATGCCCTCCAGCAGCTGCGCCTCGTCGAGAGCTCTCTGGGGTCCGGGGGTGCCACGATCGTCCAGAACGGCCGGCGAGGCCCTGGTGATTGCCCGAAAGCCAGCGGCTGGGGTGAGCGTTTCTGGGGGTGAGCATCATGGCCGTGGCTGTGGGATATCCCATATCTCCTGGACCATCGGCCTTCGTTGGCAGTGCTGTCCCTGGGCCTCGCCATCCGCGCTTGTGACCCGGACCATGCTGCGCTCAACGCTGAACCCCCCTCGTCCTTTCAGGGCGTGTTTCGATTCTTCCGATTCGATTCGATTCGACTTCGATGGCTTTCGATTCCGATTCGAGTCGACTTGGGATTCCGATTTGGGTTCCGATTTCTTATCGGAGGCATACTAGCCTGCCGATTTCCGCTGGTTCGGCTTTCCCGACTCGGCTGCCCATTTCCGCCTATCCAATTCGTTTCGATCGCCGATCCGACATCGATTCGATTCTGGGCTCTCCTGCCTTTTCGGCGACGACGACTCAGCACGCGCGCCGATCCTGGCCAGGCCCGTCTCCTTGGGCCCAGGGCCGCTGCGCACGCCTCCTGGGCCGAGGCAGGAGGGCGCATGCACCGATCCTGGAGGAGGAGGAGGAGGCGGAGGAGGAGGAGGAGGAGGAGGAGGAGGAGGCGGAGGAGGAGGAGGAGGAGGAGTGTGGAGGTGGAGGGGAGGAGTGGGAGGAGGAGGAGGAGCAGGAGGAGGAGGAGGAGGAGAGAGGAGGAGATGGAGGAGGAGGAGAGGCGGAGGGGGAATATGAGGAGGAGGAGGGAGGAGAAGGAGGAGGAGGAGGAGGAGGGAGGGAGGGAGGGAGGGAGGGAGGGAGGGAGGGAGGGAGGAGGAGGGAGGAGGAGAGGAGGAGGAGGAGGAAGAGGAGGAGTGATGGAGGGATGGAGGGATGAGGGAGATGGAGTACGGAGGGATAAGGGAGGGGGGAGGAGGGAGGGGGAGGGGAGGGAGACGGGAGGGAGCAGATGGACCTGGCCAGCATGGGTTCACGTGCATTGCTCTCCGTGTTCCCTGGTCCCTGGCGCCCCTCTTCGACGCGCCCGGCCGTGCAGCAGCTGCCGCGCGGCTTCTGGCTGCCCTTCCCGGAGGAGGGCCCAGTCGAGAGAACGGCGGCCGTCCCCGCCCGTTTCTTCGCGTCCCCCCCCTCCCTCCATCCCTCCTCCTCCTCCCTCCTCTCCCCTCCCTCCCTTCTCCTCCCTCCCCTCCCCCCTCCCTCCCCTCCTTCCCCTCCCTCCTCCTCCTCCTCCTTGCCTCCCTCCCTCCCTCCCTCCTCCCTCCCTCCCTCCTCCTCCTCCTCCCTCCTCCCTCCTCCTCCTTCCCTCCCTCCTCCTCCCCCCCCTCCTCCCCTCCCCTCCTCCTCCTCCGTGGTTGCGCGCTCCGCGTGCCGACGCCCCAGCGCCCAGGGCGCTCCCCAGACTGCACCGGCACAGCCCCGAAGAGGGCGCGAAGGCGGCTCAAGGAGGCGGCCAAGCTTGCCCAGGAGACCTCCTCCCGCCTCCCCTCCTCCTGCCCCCTCCTTGCCCAGGAGACCCCAAGATTTTAAGCTCGCTGAGGGGCAGCGAACGCGATCTGTGTTTCTGGGGCGACGGGGGAGAGGGCAATGCTTTTGTAGGGCAAGACCAAGCATGAGCAGCCAAATCGTCGGCAAGAGTAAACCTGAAATCAGAGCTTCTCGCGAAGGGCGGCTGTAAGGATTGCTGTTGACCGATCAAGCGCGCCCGCCGAGCGTACGGGGATCTGGCGCTGGAAACAACGCTCCCCCCCCAGCGACCTTCAACCCAAGACGGCCCCTCCAAATCAGATTCGACACCCCTCAAAAAGGCTCAGCAGGCGGCCGACGAGCCCCGAAGATGCCCCCCACATGAGTTCTGGCGCCCCGAATCGGCCCTACAGAGGCCTCCACGATGGCCCCAGCACGTCTAGGCCTCCTAGATGGGGTCGGAGGACCGCGCCGCATCGGCGATGCATCGCCGATGCATCGCCGATGCAGCTCGATGTGGAGTCTGATGTGCTTCACGTCGACGTCGGCGACGTCGCCGATGCATCGCCTGTGCATCGCCGATACATCGCCAATGCATCGCCGATGTCAGGCGATGCGGCGCGTTCCTCCGACCCCATCTAGCACGGCCGCAACCAGCACGTTCCTGGAAACATTTCCTGGAACGTGATTGCCGCCGCCACTCCTTGGAGCATGAGGCTCTCGAGCATTTCCGCGTGGTTGCCTGTTCCGCTCGCCGATGCCCCGAGAATGCCCAAGGCGCCTTTTTTCTGGACCAAAGCAGCCCAAGAGGGCGTTCAGAAAGCCCAACACATGTCTGGCTGAGACTGTCTTGCTTTAGCACATCGTGTTGATGTTCTAAGAACATTGTTCCTCGTTCTTAGAACATGTTCTTGGTTCTGAGAGGCGGACAGGCTAGCCCAAGACGGTCCTGGGGCTCTGCAGGCGGCCGGTGATGAGGAGACAAAGGATGAGGCCCAGATGGAAAAGGAGGGCGGATCTCGAGGCGAGGGATAAGGATGATCATGGGGATGACACAGGAGGAGGAGGAGGAGGAGAAGGAGGAAGAGGAAAAGGAGCAGGAGCAGGAGCAGGAGGAGCAGGAGGAGCGGGAGCAGGAGCAGGAGGAGCAGGAGGAGGAAAGGAGGAGGAGGAAAGGAGGAGGAGAAAGGGGAGGAGGAGAAGGAGGAGGAGGAGGAGGGCGGACGGAATGAATGAGGAGACCGATGACGAAGATGGAATCGGCTGCGCCCTCCATCCTTCGTGCCCGCCCGGGTCGACCAACGACGGGCCCAACTGCTCCTCCGAGGTGGCCCCCCAAAAACACGGCGCACGCCGTGCTGCTCGCCCCGTGTGCCGACCGGAGCACCCTATATCAGGGGGCGCCAAGGCCGCCCCAGGGGCGGCCAGGCTGGCCACGAGACTGCCCAGGACGCTTTCCCAGACACCACCTCGTCGCAGAAGCATCAGGACGGGAGGCTGTCGGCTACTGTCGGGCCCGGGGGGCCCTCGGCCAGGCCTCGGGAGCGTCAACAAGACGGCTCGGGGCGAGAAGCCAGTCCCGGGGAAAGGGTCGGGGCTTCGATGGACGCCGCCCCGAACAAATCAGGACGTCGCGCGCCTGGGTTTCAGACTGCACCAGAACGACCCACAAGGGCGCTAAGACGGACCAAGGGGCGACCAAGCTGGCCCAAGAGGCCCCAAGACGGCCCAAAGATTTTACAGACGGCCGACGAGAAGCAGGGGACGGAGGATGGGGCCGCCTGGGGGACGAAAGGCGGAGGTCGTGGATGAGGATGACGGTGAGGATGACAAGAAGGAGCAGGAGGAGGAAGAGGAGGAGGATGAAGAGGAAGAAGAGGAGGAGGAGGACGGCGGACGGAATGAGGAGACCGAAGACGAAGATGGAAGCGCAACCCTTGTTCAGCCACTGCTCCCTCCAGTCCCCCTGTCCTCCCAGATCCCTCAGAGACGGGCCAGGATTCAGGAAGCCCCCCCAAAAAGGCCCCAGCGCGGCCCAACCCGTCGTGCTCCAATCGCGCTCTTCGGGGACCATGATCGTCTCCGCCACCCGCTGAAGGCGGCGGTGGAGGAGGAGAGGGAGGAGGAGGAGGAGGAGGAGGAGGAGGAGGAGGAGGTCGAGGGCGAGGACGACGAGGGGGGGACGGGTGCGGATGCGGGGGGCGAACATGAGGATAGCGAGTAGCAGGAGAAAGAGGAGGAGGAGGAGGAGGAGGAACAAAAAGCAGAGGGGAAGGCCAGAGAAGGGAGAGGAACCCCTACTCATCCGCTGATCCATCCCTCGTTCCCTTTCCTGTCCTCTTCCTTTTTGCCTCTCCTGCCTCTTTGCGCCCCTTCTTCCCCTCCTCCCCCCCTCCCTCCATCCCCTGTCCTCTTCCTCCCCCTCCCTGGGACCGCGACGACGACGCCGACGCCGACGGCGCCGTCGACGCCGATGACCCCATTTCCGCTTTCGTGGTTTCCGGGATTGCGTACGTGCCATGGGGATGGATGGGGACAAGAGCGATGAAGGTATGGATGAGGTCTTCGGAGTTGTCTAACGCCCAAGCACGCGCGTGGTTCTAGTGTGGTATACATGTACATATATCTAAATATGTAGATATACACCCACCTAGTAGTCGTCGGCCAATCCCGCCACCGCGCCTGGGCTGCAGGGCGGACGCCTCCTGGATGCGCGTGGCGACCTTTCGGGGGGCCGATCAGACGCCTTGTGGCGGCGGTTGGGGGGGTTTGGAGGGAGGGGGCTTGATTTGGTCATCTTGTGTGGCGAGGGGGCTCGGGGCCTCGCGGCCGTCGTGGGGCTTTGGGGCCGCTGGGGGACGATATTCTGCGCATCATCTTGGGCCGTCTTGGACGCTCTGCTGATAGACATGCTAGCATGGGGAAATCATGCGGGGGCGCCCTGAGTTCCGAATAGTGGGTCAGGCAATGGAAAAACAGCAAAACACCACGCAAATAATTCCAGGGGGCAAGCA